CAGCTCCGGGGACGAGGCGTCGCTTAGCTCCTCCACGGGTTCCTTCTCCCGGGGCCACAGGTAACCGACCCCCCCCCTTTTTTTCTTCCTCCGCATCGGGGGTGGGGAAGAGCCGTGGCCCCCCCCTGGACCCCCGGACGTCTTGCTCTCAAGTCAGGTCGCCCAGAAGTTCCCAAACGGTGGGTCGCGGTAGGCCTGGCCCATGACTAACCAGCTGTGTGGTCCGATCCAATAACCGACATCAAGTGAGAGCGCGAGGCATCGTAAAATACCGACCTTATCGAGGAACCTTTTGTCAGATTGTTTTGCATCTGTGACGCCTACACATGCCTTCAGCTTGCTCTGGCCCTCAAGGAGGAAGGTGGTGACAGCCTTATTTCCACTGGTGTTGCCTGTCATGTGCAGCCCTGCTCCCCGCACAGTCCTGGGCGGGCAGGGTGGACCCTTGTGTGGACAGCAGTGCCGGGTGTGTTTGGAGCCAAGAGCGAGCCGCTGCCTCTGCTCCAGCGGGCCCCCCATGGCCCAGTTGTGGCTGCTGGGGTGGAGCTGCTTTTGCAAAGGCACCCAGTGCCCGGTGGAGCAGGACATCCCTTGCATGGCACCTTCCCCACCCACGCACAGGCCAGCTCTCCATGGTGTGCACTAGTGTTGCCATGGCAGCAGCAGGAGCCGGTAACGGTCCATTTGTTGCTGAACATGGCGCCCTGTGACTGCGGCCCAGTGCCCCTTCCTCCTCTCGTTGCTTGTCAGGACTTGTAGTCTGCTATGCGCTCAGGCCTGTAGTGGGGCATGGAGACTGCAATGCTTGTCAGGGTGCTGCAGGCATGTGGCCATATTTATCGGCTACAATGACCAAAAATATCCAATAGCTGATAACATCATTTCTCCTTTTTAATGATGCCGATCTGATAGCCAACCGATATATCAGTGCGCCCCTAGTGAAAATGCCCATGCTTGATCATTACAATAAAAGTGCTGTGTTATTTGGCAAGCTAGTGATAAGCATTTCAGTATGTGCATGAACTAACACAAATCTAGGAAAGCTTCTCCAGGACCAGAGGAGCTGAGTCCAAAAGCATGGTTGTGATCACAGTACTTTGACAGAACTTGGTCCAGTTGATCATCCAGACATGGAAAGCATTGAAGGGAGTTGGGCAAGCTGTTATCAGAAGAGCCCCTACCCCTATGGTTCCTGTATCCTCCACGTTCTGTTCCAGTCAAGCTGCTGCTCTACTGCCACTGGGAGAGCAATGAGAGGGGAATTTCTACCCGAGTGATAGGAGCTTGGCAAAAATTACCAGTACGATCTTAGGTGGAGCTGCCAGCACTTCCTACTCTATAATGATTCCAGGCCAGGCATGCTTTCAGTAAGCCTGGTGGTAGATTACTTGTGGTGTATTTATTTAATAGATAGAAAATGTCGTGCTGTATAACCATTCAAATCACAATTTTTCATACGTATCCAAGTTGAGTTAGGGGGTTCATCTAATAACAAATCCCTCTCAAGAACATGTTCCCTTCAGAAATCTGTGATCTTCTGAAAGCAAGCATAGTTTTGAATACACTAGCACTTCAGAAAATGGACCTGTGGCTTTCTGTCAGATTTAGACAATTTTGCTTTGTATAATCTATTTAGATCTTCATAGCAGTAGGGTTTTCTACACCCAAATGAATGCTCTGACGACCAGCTGAAGAGTCATTCTTACTCATTTTTTGATTCATTGCATAAGTATTTTATACAAATTGGAGAAGCATTAGCAAGAGAGGCTGGGAGCACCATGTTCCAGAATACACTGTATTCTAGTAGCTAAGGGAGGACAAAGATGTATGTTTGAATTCCCTCCTGTACTAGAGGGAATTAAACTTTGTCTCCTTCAGCCTAAGTGTATTTTTAAGATCGGGTTTTCAACTGAAAGTTAAACTTATCACCCTGTTGCATATTTATCCTATTTTCTGCAGCTAAAACTTCAGAGAAATTAATACAAATTAATGAGTGATTTCAGGTTGCTTTTTCTGTAGCATTTAATATGAACTTACTTTGCTTGCACTGAAATTAATGTGTAGAGTTAAGAGTCAGGAATAACTTTTGTGGTCTTAGTTCTACGATTCGTTCATTTTGTCATTATCTTTTCTGACATTCAAGGAAATAATGGAACTGTAATCTAACTAGAGCCACATGCTGAAGAAGTATCTAAGACGCCTTCTGCAAAGTTACGAATCTGCACAAAAGCCTCTTTGCTGTGTCACGTTATGAATTTGTATGCATTATCATAGCTTCTAATTATTACATTTCAGGTTGCTGCCATCTATTGAATAGATATTTTAGATGATTGTAGATTGTATTTTAAATTATTTTCTAACAAGTGAATTATCTTTAATTTTTCAAGTTTAATCTTGTGTTGTTTTCTAATTATAGGCCTCATGTTTGTCAGCTTCCTATTTCTGTCCTCCCTGATGTTCCCAGTTTAGTGAATAATACTGTGTGTACCTGAATCCAGGACCACCCTGAATTTAGGATGACTCCCCAGTTATTAGATTTTAGACATGGAAAATTATAAATTTCTTTTAATTTTCCATGTCTACAATCTGGGTGTTGGAGGATCCTCTTAAACCAGGGGTGGGCAAAATAAGGACCGGATGCGGCCTGTGAAGAGTATTTGTCTGGCCCATGGCAGGTCCCTTGGTCCCACCTGGCCCAAGCGCTGTCCACCCATGGCATGTCCTGCCACCCCATGAGCATGCAGCAGGGCTGGGGCAGCTTCACAGTTGTACTTCCTTTCTAGGCAGCCCAGGTGGTGGCAGCTCCTGGCCGCAGCCCTGTGGTACCAGTGGGGAACCCGCATGCACAGCCCTGAGCCCAGCCAGCCCCTTGCCTGCTCCGTACTGCCCACCCAAGCTGAGTAGCTGCAGTGACTGGACAGAAGCTGCTGCTCAGCACAGGTGAAAAGCAGCCCCTCACCACTGCTGAGCCGTTCTTGCTGCAGCTGGCTGGAGTCCATGCCTGAGCTGCCCTACTGCTCCTCTGCACTGTCACTGCTGCCCTGCGGGGTGTCCCAGAGGCAGCAGTGACGGCAGCAGAGAGAAGCCGCGGAGCAGCCTAAGCGCGGGCTCTGGCCGGATGCAACAAGAATGGCCCAGTGCCAGTGAGGGAGAGGGGTGCTTTTGCCCCCTGCCAGCAGCAACTTCTGCCCAGCTGCTTCTCAGTGTGGTTGGGTGGTCCAGAGCAAGTGTGGTTGGGTGGTCCAGAGCAAGTGTGGGGTGGGCCAGGTCGGGGTTGTGCGCATGGGTTCCAGCTGGTCCTCTCGGCTGGGGTGAGTCTAGAGTGGGCTGGGGTTCAAGTTGGGGCTGCACGCTGTTGGTAGTGGCAGGAAAGAGCCAAAGGGCGTGCGGGCTCCAGGCTCTTGGGTGGGAGGGTGCTGACTGCCTCAGGAGAGCATGCCTGCTGCCTTGCTCACGTGCATATGACCTCTCCTGGACCAGCTCTTTGGCAACCATCTCCCCTACATGGCAAAGCTGTGCTAATGCTGGGGCTTCGAGGTGGTGGCCCCAGGAGCTCGCATATATCACACCTCCCCAGCTTGGGCCCTGCAGTTGCAGCTGTTGCCATGGGGGCCCATTGGCTTCCATAGCAACAGCAGGCAGGGGAAGGTGGAGTGGAGGCTCCAGTAACCAGGGCTGTAGGTGCTATAAACCGTCGCCAGCAGCA